AAATCTCAACATAGAAACCAAGAAAAAGAATAAACAAGGCATCATGATTTCTCCAAAACTTCATAACTCCTTAGAAGTTGAATCCAAAGATATCAAAGTGGCTAGAATGCCAAAGAAGTCAAAAGACTGGTTTCTAAAATGATCGATTAATTTAAAAAAGGAAAATAAATGAATGAATTAAGAGTGACAATGCAGGATATGAAAGAGAAATTCAATACAGAGGGCTTCTGAAAAGAAATAAACAGAAATCTTGGAAATGAAAACTCAATAACTCAAATAAAAAACTCAAGTGAAAACCTCACTAATAGACAAGATTAAGTGAAAGAATATTGGGGCTTGAAGATAAGGTGAATGAACTAGCATGTTTCAGACAGTAATAATGAAAAAAAATAAAAATAATTTTTATCCATGAGACACATTAAGAAACCAACCTTAAAATTATAGGTTTAGATGAAGTTTAAATATGGGTTAATGGTATAGGAAACCTATTCAGTAAAAGAAAATTTCCAAAATCTTGGAAATGACATTAATATGCAGGTACTGGAGGCATTGAGAAACCTAAACAGACCTGACCAGACACATTAAGTTGCCAGAAGTACGCAACAAAGAAAGTATATTCAAAATTGCAGGAGAGAAATGTCAAATGACTTATAGAGGTAATCCCACCTGTATAACAGAAGATTTTTTTCAGCAGAAATACATTAATAGCCAACCCATAGAAAAATATACCCTGGAAAAAACGCCTGGTAACCTAGATTATTATGTTCAGCAAAAGTGAAAGAGAAATAAATTTTCCATGATAAGCATAAACTGAAAGAATTCATGACCACTAAACCAGCATTATAGGAGGTACTCAAAGGAATTCTACACTCAGATGGAGAATCAAGATAAACATAACAAAAACAACATGGGAAAAAGTAAATCTCACTAGAAGATAGTTAAGTAAATAAGGAGGAAAGAAACATGATTACTTCAGTAAACCATCAAAGTGCTAAAATGAAAAAGAGAAAAGGAATGAATATAGAATATTCAAAACAGCTACAAGAACAACAAAATGAGAGGAACTAGTATGTTTCTTTCAATAACAACTAAATGTGAATGGTATAATTTTTTCTATTAAAGAACACAGACTGGACTCGACTATTTGCTGTCTGCAAAACCTAACTACCAAAGACATACATAGTCTGAAAAGGAAAGGATGGAGAATAATCCAATCAAGTAGAATTCAAAAGCAAAGAGAAGTAGCTATACCCATAACTAACAAAGTGACTTCACTAAAATTGATCAGAGAAGACAAAGAAAATCATTACATATTAATAAAGAGAACAATCCATCAGTAATAAATAGATGTGCTCCAAACATAGGAAAACATAATTTAATAAAACAAACACTATAGGACAGACCAAACACAATAATAAAAAGTGACTTCAATACCTAAGTCTTACTACTGGATCATCAAGACAAAAAAATCATCATCATCAACAACCATAAAAATCACAGTTAAAGATCAGATAAGCTTAATGGACATCTGCACAATATTTCATCCAACAGCTATAGAATACACTTGATTTTATCAGCACATAGAGCTTTCTCCAAAATAGATCACATTTTAGGTCACAAAGCAAATCTTAAAAAATGTTAAAGTCTGAAATAATTTCTTGAAACTTAGCCACATGGAATGAAACTAAAAATCAACAGCAAGGGAAACTGCAGAAATTATATAAACACATGGAGATTGAACAATACACTTCTGAACTAGCAGTGGATCAGTGAAGAGATGGGGGATGGGGTTAAAGACTCTTATGATAAAACCAAAATGGGAATAAAACAACCTACCAGAACTAAGGGACACAGTAAAGACAGTTCTAAGAAGGAAGATTATAGCTACATTAAAAAAAAAAAAAAAAGGATCTCATATAACCTAATGAGACATTTCATGGCATGAAAAACAAGAATAAATCAAACCTCAAGTCAGTAGAAGGAAAGAAATTAAAAATATATATCAGGGCAAAAAAGACAAAAGAACAATACAAAGGTTGAAACAGTTATATAACAACAAAAAAAACAATAAAACCAATATCCTTGATGAACACACAATATTCCTCAGTAAAATACTTTCAAACTGAATTCAGTATCACATTAAAAAGATCATACATTGTGACCAAGTGGGTTTTATCCTAGGTATGCAAGGTTGATTCAATATATGCAAATCAATAAATGTAATACATCACATAAATAAAATCATGGATAAAAATCATATGATTGTTTTAACAGCTGCAGAAAAGGGCTTTGAGAAAATTTAATATAACTTCATGATAAAAAACCACACATTCTCAATGAGGAAAAACTGAAAACATTTCCTATAAAATCAAGAATTTGTAAATGTTAGAACAATCCGGTAAGAGAAAGAAAAGCAGATACAAATAGAAAAAGAATTCAAATTATTCCTGTTTGCAGATGATATGATTCTGTAACTAGAAAATCCTATAGTCCAGCAAGTCTTAGAACTGATAAAAACATTTTCAGTAAAGTAGTAAGGATACAAAGACAACATACAAAAATTAGTAGGTTTCCTATACATTAATAATGAAGTCACTGAGAAAGAAATCAGGAAAACAACCCCATTCATAATAGATTAAAGGAATTGACAATGGAAAGACACCCATGTTCATGGATTGAGAAAAATAATATTGTTTAAATGCCATACTTACTGAGAGCAAGTTATAGATTCTTCATCAAAATACCACTGACATTTTTCACAAAATTGGAAAAAACAATCCTAAAATGTATGTAGAAGAACAAAAGACCTCAAATAGCCACAGCAACACTAGGCAATAAGAACAATTCTGGAGGTATCAAAATACCTGACTTCAAGATATACTATAGAGCCATAGTAACAAAAAAAGCATATTATTGGCAGAAAGTTAGGTACATAGATCAGTGGAATAGGATGATTTCTGCCAATATTTTGGCTGTTACTAAAAAAATAACAAAATGAAAAAATGGAAATAAAGTATTTGTAAATAGGGAAGGCAGGAGGGGGTGAAGGGAGGGCAGGGATAAGGGGAAAAAAATGAGAACCAAGACCTGTCATGTCAAGGTACAAGATCCCAATGATGAATGTAACTGTACTGTATACCTAAAATGTACCAATAAATTCAATGAGAGAAAAAAAATAACACATGCTGACAAAGATGTAGGGTGTAAAGGAATACTATCCATTGTTTCTGGGAATGTAAATTAGTATATTCACTCTGGAAATTTGTGCCGAGGTTCCTTAAAGTACTAAATATAGAAATACCATATGATTCAGCTATAACATACTTTGGTGGAATGCAAAGTTCACATACAGTAGAAGTATCTATATATATATCCATGTTTATCATGGCACTATTTACAATAGCAAAGTTTGGAATCAGCCTAAGTAACCATCAATAGATGAGGGAATAAAGAAATTGTGTAACTACACAATGAAGTATTATTCAGCAATAAAGAAGAATGAAATCTGTCACTTGAAAGAAAATGGATGATCATCATGTTAAGAAAAATATGCCAGACCGAGGAAGACAAGTTTCATAAATTTTCTTTAATATAAAGTATGATTGAAAAGTACAGTTAATGTCTAAATTAAATTACAGTAAAGGACATATTGCTACTATCATCCCTCAAAATCATCCCACTTGCTTTAACATACATATCCAGCCATTTTTGCCACTATCTGAAGGAGTTCTAGAAATCCTCTTTCATGAATGTTTTTAACTGTGTAGTAATAACTGCCTCCATGTTCTGACTCAATTCCAAACATTTTCCTTTCATTTTGACTTTAGGAAAGAACCAGAAGTCACATAGTGCCAGATCTGGTGAATAAGGACACACTGTAATGTTTTTATGAGCCTGTCTTTCCTTTGGATGACATTTGAATATTTGGTCACATTTTGACAAAAGAAGACTTCCAGAACTGCTTCAGAAAGTGGCAAGGACAATGGGATAAGTGTGTTTGAAGCAAGGCTTAATATTTTGAGGGGGATTAAGGGCAATGTGTTTTTTACAGTAATACATTTTTAATGTAAACATTTACTATATATTCTATCATACCTTGTATGTAGAATATTGGGAGAAAAGGAGAAAGGGAGTGTGAGGAAGAGATGAGAGCGAAAAAGAGAAGATGAAAATAGCAGGACTAAATAGGGAAGAAGAAAGAGAACAAAGATAGAGGATAATAAAAAATGGCTATTTATATATCTTCTGATATGTAGGCATTGATGTGTGTGCTCATAACAACTAAGGGGCTTTAGAAATTAAATTCTACATTTCCCTCAAGAGATTTATTAAATTGCTAGTCTCAAAAGTTGGAGTACGTAGGATGAAATTTCAAGGAACTTTTTTTATGGTCGGTGCATATTAAGGCTATGTAACATTATGGTTAGTAACGCAACAAGATCTTGGTATTAAAAACATTTTCAATGATTCAACATTACCCAAAATATTTTCTACATCTCTTTTTTACTTTAGAGTTCCTTTTCTTTCTACATTGACTCTGATCTTCTCAGAGTTCCCTTTTTATTATTACTAGACATAGAAAAAAATTGGAGATGCTATGATTAGTCACTATGATTTATTTCTTAAATTTAAAGAAAGGTTTAAACTTTCCAGTAGTATCAAGACTACAGATCTGTATTGTGATATGCTTTCTTGAGCTTGGGCTTGAAAACTGCAGTAAACTACAGATTCTCTTACTGGTACCAAAACTGAGTTGTCATCGCTGGAGGGCCCCTCACAGTGCCAGAGGTTACTGCTTACTTTCATGCATGCATTTTATATCCATGCAAGATGTCTCTGGGATTCTTTAAAATTCTGGGATGCCCAGAGGACTTTCACTCATGTGAATGCCATCTGCTATATGAGTTAAAGTGGGCACAGGGTGATAAACACTGGTTCTGATGTCTTAATTCTTTGGACTTAGCAGAAAAACTCATTCAAGTCAGGCAGGCGCAGCACCACAAATGTTGCCCAGAACAGGGCTGCCCCTCTGAGAGTGGCAAAGGGACATCATCTCCCTGGGCAGCCATTTTGCTGTTGGAGGACTTAACCGGTGGAAGGCAGCACAGTGAAGAGCCACCTCACTTTCTCAGCCTCCACACTGGCTGCATTCCAGCTCAGTGTGATCTGTTCAGAATGGATATCTGAAAAGTGAAGAGTACAATCAGTGGTCACAGTGCTGCCAGCCTGCCTGGCTCCAGAAGCTGATCCCGATCCCGAGCTCATTTCAACTGCCCTAACTATGCATAGCAGGTGGGACCCAAAAGTCAACTATCTGGCTTGGAGGAAGAGCCCCTAGGATTCTTCTGCAATAATGGAACCCCAAAAGAGCTCTTACAAACTGACACAAGAAAGACAAGCTACCCAGTAGAAAAATGGGCAAGAAAATGAGTAGGCAAATGACTTGAGATCAAGCTGAAAAAGCAGGGAATTTTGTGAAAAGATACACTTGACTTATATTCACAAATATGCTATAAGAGTATCAATAAGGCATCACTTCATATCCATCACACTTACAAACAAAGATGTCTAAGAGCCAGCACTAGAAGAGATAGAGAAAATGGCACACTAACACATTACGAGTGAAGATGTGACAACTTTTAGGAAAGCACTCTGGAAGTTTTCAGATTAGCTAAAAATAGATGTAATCTCTCCTTTGTAGAACTAAAGTACTAATGTACAAAGTCATATGTTTCAGTATGTCAACTGCAGCATTATTTCAAATGGCAAAAGGCAGAGGAAGGGCTGAGGGCAGGAGAATGGCTGAGCACCTAATGTCTGCTCACACTAGGGAATATAATTTAGCCATCTGAAGAGATAAAAGCTCTGCCAGAGATCCTGGAGGGATTTCTGGAGGAATCATTCAGTGTGCATAATATGATGTCATCATTATTAAATAACACATAGATCTGTATAGGTATTACAAAGATACAGATGTTCTTCAAGTTATGGTTCAGCTGTGCCCCTATAAATCCATTATAAATTGAAAATACTGTAAGCAGAAAATGCATGTAATATATCTAACCTGCTGAACATCTTAGCTCAGCAACATGGGACTGCATTGTTGTTTACCCTTGGGATAGTGCGATGGACTAGAAGGTGCAGCTCCACTGCAGCTGCCCAGCACCACAGAAGTATGATACTACACACGGCAAGCCCAGGCAAAGATAAAAAATTCAAGGTATGGTTTCTTCTAAATGCATATGGTTTTTATACATCCATAAAAAAAAAATCCTAAGTTGCGCAATAGTTGGTCAAGGACCTTCTGCCTAGACAGATATGAAGAAAAATAAGAAAGGAGACATTGTGGGTTGAGGCAGTGGCAGCTGATTTGAAAACAAGTGGGGGAATAGATATATACAAAAATAAAATTAAAAGGTATTAAGCACACATGTGTTTATGTGTATGCAGTTAGGTAGACTATATATGTATAACATGCGATCTATAAATAAATAAAAAATAGCTTTGTAAAATAATCCTTGGTTCCTCAGGCATATGAGCATCATCAGGACCAGGCCAGCCTTATCTTTGGAGGTTGGAGGACACAATATCATAGGGAAGGCAACTGATGGGCCCCTTGAGAGATGTATGCACATATTGTGCTGCCACATGGCCTGGACAAAACTCAGTACCAGGTGGGCCACTGCCCTGCCCGAGCAGGAGATCCTGTATCTATAGGAGGAGGAGGAGGATGTGATGGGAGAGGAGCTAATCTCATTCATCTCCCTGCACTGAGGGATACTGCATTCAATGAAATGACACCCTGGCCCTCCATGTTTTGTAGCTGCAGGTCACTAAGTCTCAGTCTCTCCAGCCATTAAATGAAATGATAAGGTTATCTGCCTCTAAACAGGTGGCTGATATCAGGTACTGCAAATAATCACAGTTGGACTTACCAGTGCTATGTATACTTAAGGCATGAACCACAAAGAAGCTACCAACATTTACTACTCATTTATGAAAATACTGAAATTTCAGTGGCTAAAAAGCAGAGTTATGTTTCTGTTGGTCATTATTATTATTTAGATATAAAATGTTGCCCAAAAATCTCATGTTCAGAGGTGGGGCCTGGTTGGAAGGGGCAGGTCACTGATGGGTCAGATCCTCCCTTCTCTCTCTCTCTCTCTCTCTCTCTCTCTCTCTCTCTCTCTCTTTGCTTTCTGGCCACTATGTAGTAAACAACTTTCATCTCCCATGCTTTTTTTCCATGCCATTTCTGCCTGGGAGCCACCTGACCATAGCCTGAACTCACTGAAACTATGAGCCAAATGAAACCTCTCCTCCATTAAACTGTAGTCATCATGAATTTTGTTCCAGTGGCAGAAAAGAGACTAATAACAGAAAATTGGTACCAAGTATAGGATCATTGCAGTGATTGTACCTGATCGTGTGGTTTAGAAGCCTTTGGAATTGGTTTCTGGGAGGAGTTTGGAGAGGTTTGAAGGTGTTGAGTAGAGAGCCTTAGAAGGCGATAAACACAGTAAAGAGACTGATGGGAGATTTGGGGCAGAGCTCAGAAGATCAGAATGTTATTAGATAGGCAAGGCCAGGCTTAATGGGCTTCAGCTGGGAACAAGAGTTGCATAGTAGTTTGACTAGAGGCCATGTGTACTATAACCTGGCAGAAAATTTGTCTTCATTTTGCCCACATTCTGAGATTTTGCAGGAGACAGATAGATTAATTGAGATGAAATTTCAAGGCAGTCTGATGTTCAAGTTGTGGCACAGGTACTGCCAGTCACTTTTAGTCTTATTTATAGTGAGAAGCAGGAAAAAAAAAAAAGCAGATGTAAAAAGTTTTCAGTTTCACCAGAAAGGAAGCACCTTCAAATTTGGAGCAAAGGGGAGACACAGTTGCTGAAAACAGCATTTTAAAAAATCTAAGTACTTTGTACAGGCACAAAAGGAAAGACATCTTGAGGGGCATCTCAGGAATCAGCAAGATTCCATCCACAACAGGTTCAGAGGTGGAAAACTTTAAATCTTTCATTTGAGAAGAGAGTGCCTAGGATGCTTGCTTGTTCAGGGCCATCAAGGGAAGTGTTTCAGAGTTCAGCCATCCAGGCAGGTCAGACATCACTGCAGTCATAGTTGAAGGGGGACCAGACTGCTCAAAATGACAGCCTACCTTGTCTTCATCCATGTGGCACTGGTCTTTTAGTCATGCAGAATGTAAGAGTTAACAGGGTCAGGGAGGCTTACATGCAGATTTCAGAACAAGGCCTGGGAAGCCAGGCAAAAATATGTGACAGGGTTACAATCCCTACCAGGTACCCCTGAGAAGGTGATGCTTGAAGCTGTGAGAGTGAAGACAGAAATGGAATGGGGACCCTAGAAAATTAGAGATGTCAGGGCCATAAACCATCTGCTGAGGAAACTCACAGGCAGCAAACAGAGCCAGCCCAGGAGAAAGGCTATATGGGCTGCAAACAGCAATGCTGTAGGGGTGGGGCTGCCCAAGCCCTTTGAAGCTCACATCTCACCACAGCCTACCCTGGGCACTGGACATGCAACTGTAGGATTTAATGTTTGACCTGTTGGCTTTTAATATTCTTTTGGTCAATTGCTGTCTGTTCCCCTATCCATCCCTTTTGGAATGGGAATTTTACTATGCCAATGAATGCTGGCAGTATGGAACTTTCCTTTTGATTTTCAGAGAGGCTCACAGTTAGAGTTTGCCTTTAGTCTCAGAGGAGACTTTGGACTTGGACTTTTCAGCAACGTTGGAACTGATAAGACTTCAGCAACTCTTAGATATGGACTAGATATATTTTGCATAATGAGATAAATACGAGTCTTTTGGGGATCAGGAATACAGTATTGTAATATCTAAAATGTCCCCCAAAAGTCTCACATTTGGAGATGGGATCTGGCTGGAACAGGCAGGTCACTGGGAGCTAACTTGGGAGGATGTCGTCTTACCCTAGAGTCCTCTCTTCTCTGCTTCCTGGCTACCATGCAGTGAAAAGCTTTCCTCTGCCATGCTATTTCTGCCTTGCAGCCAACCAACCATGGATGGAATCCACTTAAACTCTGAGCCAAAATAAACTCTCCTCCTTTAAATTGTGGTTGTTGGGTGTTTTGTCCCAGTGACAGAAAAGTGGCTAAAACTGACATTCTATTATTCAGCACAGTAGGGAGTCAAAGTTGGAAGAATCCCCTAAAGGATTTAATATAAAAAGCAAATTTGAAAAAGGAATAACAGATCCAAGACCTATACGCTCAAATTTAGTTTCATTTCCTAAATGACCTTCATGCAAAACAGGCTGCTCATCACTCAGGTCAAAGTACGCAAAGTTGAGGTTTTGATTAGCCTTGGGATGCCCAGAGGAGTGTCTTAGATAATTTGCCAATGCATATTTCTTGTAATATATATTTCTCCCTGACCAAGTACCCATTCATTTGTGTTTAGATGATAAGAAGAAAATGAACAATAAGAAGTCCCTTGATTTTTCTCTAGTCATTTTAAAAACTACCACAAAAGTGCCAACAGATACAATTATTTCGCTTTCATCCATTTACTCCATCGAACTCTTTCATTCAAACAGGGTCACACACACGCTTGCTCCTAAGCATTCCAAGAACACAACATGGTCTGTACCTTCAGGAAGTTCACCACCTGATGGGGAAAGAGATATTGCTGACAAGTGTGATACCCCTGGTAAAGGTCAGGCTGGTACTCATTCGTTAGGGTACATTCCATCATGCTACATATGTACACTGGAGAAAGGGAGCCCAACAAGCTGAGACTTGGGGGCCCTGACCTCAATGTTTATAATGCTCAGCATCTTTCTGTGCCCACCCCTACTGGGTATAAAATGCATTGTGTTGTCCATCACCAAAACACATTACAATCAGTGTTTGGCTCCAATAAATTCCCGATTTTTCTATACGTAACTAGACTCCTATGCTCCTATTTGAAGATAAAAGGTCTTGAAGGTACATAAAAGCACTACTAGCATAAATTTAATTTAAACGTGGGAATTTTTAGTTTAATTTTAGGAAAAAAAAGTTGAAAAAACAAATGTAGAGTTTGGATATTTCATAGAAAGGGACAGAGAAAATCAAGGGGTACCATGTCTCCAAACACTCTTTTGCG